AAAAAAAAAAAAAAAGAGGAAGTAGGCTTTTAAACCATATGCATATATTAATTTGATGACATTTTTAAAGTTTTTTTTTTTCAAGAGTGAGAATCTAGAATGAAAAAATTCAGATGAGGTGCCCATAGCCTGGTGGTTAGGGCACCAGCCACATACACGTGGGCTGGTGGGTTCAAACCTATCCAGGCCTGCTAAACAACAATGACAACTACTACAAAAAAAATAGCTGGGCGTTATGCTGGTGCCTGTAGTCCCAGCTACTTGGGAGGTGGAGGCAAGAGAATCGTTAAAGCCCAAGAGTTTCAGGGAGGGACGAATGCAAAGAAGGACAAGATAACTTTCAGAATGATGGAAATATTCTACATCTTTATTATGGCAGTGGTTTTGTAGGTATATACAATTATCAAAACTCATTGAATTTTATACTTTGCCCTGGTGCAGTTTTCTTCCTCTTAAATGGTACCTCACTTACAAAGAGGGAAAACATGTGCAATGGGGAAGCCGTGTTCTCCACGGAGAGCTCCCACTCAGCACCAGCACCTGTTCATCTGCGTATGTAGGCTCTGTCCTCCTTACCTATCTTCCACCCCAGCCCTGTCTTGGATGGAGCATCTCTTTGACCCAACCATCTCTCTGGGAGGATGCCACAGCACTGAATTGCCCTCTCCATCCCCAGGACTCCAACCTGTCTGTGCACAACTGGGACCTCACTCCCTGTTTCCAGAACTCTCTGCTGGCCTGGATCCCCTGCATCTACCTATGGGCTGCGCTGCCCTGCTACCTGTTCTACCTACGGCACCACCACAGTGGCTACATCGTCCTCTCCCGCCTGTCCAGGCTCAAGATGGTTAGGGGCTCAGGGTCTCTTATGAGTTGGGCTGGGACTGGGGGATTCTGCTTTTAATGAGCCGCTCCCCCTCAGCCTCCTCGACCGGACAAGTTTCCCCATCCTCACCTTTCCCATATCTTGGGGACATGGCAGCCAGCCAAATGTTCCTACAGCCAGCTGAGATACTCCTTGCTTGGGAAAGTTCAAACAAGTTCAGCAGTGCTCTCCCTACTCCCAAGAAACTTCTGACCAGTACCCTTCTCAGCCCTACGGGCCAGGCCCAAGCAAGTCTAGTGGCTTCACATGCAAAGACCCCACCCCAGCAGGACTATTTCTGCCTCTAGGGATGGGG